CTCCGCGCTCCTCATGCCCCCTGCAGCACTGCGTCCAGCTCTGGGGTCCCCAGCACAAGACAACAGTTTTAAACTGAACCAGGGTGGGGTTGGGTTGGGCACAGGGAAGAAATGTTTTACGGTCAGGGTGGTGAGGCAGTGGCAGAGGTTGCCCAGAGAAGCTGTGGCTGCCCCATCCCTGGAAGTGTTCAAGGCCAGGTTGGATGGGGCTGTGAGCAACCTGGTCTGGTGGGAGATGTCCCTGCCCATGGCAGGGGGGTTGGACTGGATGGGCTTTGAAGGTCCCTTCCAACCCAAACCATCCTGTGAGTCCATGATTCTCTTGCCCTGAGATACAGAAGCGCGAAGACCACCCGGAGCTCCTGTGCTTTGCTCCTTGCTGCGGCCCCACACACATGGGCACTCTGAGTGCCTGTGACGTGAAAGCACATTTCTGACTTCGCCTCAGGAAAATGATGCTGTATCAGCAGATATTGGTGGTGATGGCAGCCAGGAACTGTGGGAGGTTGCAGGTTCTGGGCAGAGTAACCAGTGCCACGTGGAGGTTGTTTGCTGTCTCCTGGCACCAGGAGGCTGCAGGAAGGGAGAGGGAACAAATCCAGCCACACACACCCAATGAGCAGAAGACAGTACAAAGACTTCATTATCTGCTAATGCTCATCAGCTCTGATGTGCCACAGGCCAACAGGGTTTATGTCCATGGCTGGGCAAGGAACGTGCAGCCTCCTCATCAAAAGTAGGTAATAAAGCTTTCTGGATGCTTTCTGGGCCATGTGATAAACAGAGCACCAAGACCGTAAAGGGTGGCAGGGTGCAGAAACGTGCTGCCGTCCTTTGCAAACACCATCTGGGACCTGGAGCTCTGGGAAGCTGGAGGACACACTCCAAGACGTGTAGCAGGAAACTGGGATTGTTCCCCTGATCTGCCTCATGCCCGCGCCTCCTTGCCCAGCACCGAGTGTCGCATGGTTCCTTCCCGCCTGCATCAGATTTGTTTCTCCTCCTGGGAACACAGGCAAGGAAGCATGGAGTGGGCTGAAGGGACAGGAGCTGATGGGAGCAACTCTCTTGCAGGAGCAGGACTAGGTAGAGGGCTGTGACAGTGCCCCAAGCACAGGGGACAGAGCTTACATACAGGGTTCTGAAGGGGCTTGGCACCCAAGAGGTGACATCTGAAGCCTGTGCCATCCCAGCTGCGTTGGGCAAGGGTGGTTCCAGCGTAGCAACTTCCCCCAGCACCTGCAACGGGTCGTCTACAGCAACCAGCACAGATGAGACATTGCAGGAGAGAGCAGGAGCTGAGAGCTGCAGACTGGAGCTCATGGGGTTTCTAAAAGCAATGTGGAACTGTGATGGACAGGTGGCACAAGAGAAGGAGACAGTTGCTGGGGTGTCTGAAAGCCAGTTAGAGTTGGAAGAGAAATAGAAAATAAAAAAAGAACAAGAGAAAAAACAGTGGCTAGGAGGGAAAAATGGAAATTCCTTAAAACAAGATTTTTCTTTTATTGATTTTCTTGAAATGAAATACTTTCTCTGCAAGTGAACTGCCCATGACCAGGAAGGAATTCCTCTATTATTTATGTGACTAATATCTCATAATCTAAAAAGCTAATGGGATTTTTATTTTAATAACTGATAGGAACAGCTCAGTGACACCGCAAGCACACAGCAGGGATCCGGGGCACAGACCCGACAGAATCCAGCACTGTTCCTAGCACACCCAGGGCTGTCTGGCAGGAGCTTGGGACAGGCAGCCTGGGATGTATGGGAAGAGAGCAAAACGAGATGAAGCTCAGTCCTGCTGTGTCCAGACACCGGAGCTTTCAAGGTAACGGGATGGTTCCTGGGCCACCAGTCCAGGTCACAGCAAGCTGTGGTGCTGTGTGAGAACTGGAGCATCCAGAGCTTCTTGAGACCAGACACTCAACAGGGAGAGCAAAGAAATGCAGAGAATGGTGGCCCAGACAGCGCAGGGAGAGCACCAGGACAGTGCCGCCAAGTCTCTTGGCCTTGGGTTCACCCAGCAGCATCTTCTACTGCTGTAACTCTTGGGGGACAAGCAAGTTGCCTTCGACGGACACGAGGAGCCTCAAATGGAGCCTGCTCCCCTCCTGGGGTACTGGGGGCTGGAGGGAGGGACTCAGCTGAGTGAACTGGCAGGGAGCCCAACCCAGGGCTGGCCACTTCTCCTCTGCAAACACAGCACATCTTCAAATCCAGCTGCATACTGCAAGGAAACCAATGAATGACCAGAGCGGATCTTAAGAACATCTTTAAAAGTACAATAAAGCTTATAAAAAGGAAGAAAAGGGACTTGCCAAACACAGCAGACAGATGATCCGTGTGCGAGACATTAGCATCAAGAACCAGAAAGGGAGAGAAGCCACAAGCTGCTCCTCCATCCTTGGTCTGCATCCCCGAAGAGAAGCAGCCGGAGGCAGACAACAGGGTCCCCTGCCCCACAGCAGAAGCCATCCCTTTGGAGAGCAGGACTGGGGATGCTCCAGGATCAGGGGGGGTCTGAGCCAGGAGCCAGTGTGGCTCTAGCACATGCAGGACCCCCACTAAGCCAGCATCCATCCCACAGCACGCAAGCAGGGTGCTGAGAATGGTGTCTAGCAGCAGGGCCAGACAATGCAAGATGTAAAATCAGGTCTAGAGTAGTGCCAAAGAGTCCCCTGAGGAGCAACAGGAGAGAGGGCTGGAGACAGGACTGAAGACAAAGCTACAACATAGGGCCAAAGTCCTTCCAGGAGACATGGCCAGAAAGGGACTGGGGACACTGGCAGAGGTTGCCCAGAGAAGCTGTGGCTGCCCCATCCCTGGAAGTGTTCAAGGCCAGGTTGGATGGGGCTTGGAGCAACCTGGTCTGGTGGAAGGTGTCCCTGCCCATGGCAGGGGGTTGGACTGGACGGTCTTTGAAGGTCCCCTCCAATCCAAACCACTCCACAAATCCATGATCCTATGACATGACTACAACAAAGATCCAAAGTCCCAGGAGAAAGGGCTGGAGACAAGCTATCTTGAACGTAGACTTGAGTCCACACTGGGAACAAGGGCCAGAGTCAGGGTTGAAGACAGGAACCTCTCAGATATGGGCTGGCTGGCCCAGGCCTGACCTTACACAGCTCCTGGACCCACAGGCAGAGGTAGAAGCCCTGTGTGA